CCGCGCGGCCCCGCCCCTCCGCGCGCCCCCTCCCGCGTGCCCCCTGCCCGAGGGCGGGCTACCCCTTTATGCCCCTGAAGGAAGTGGCCAGTCCGGAGTCTGAGAAATCAACTTTATTGCACCCATTGTGGGGAGCAGGCAGCAAGGAGGGGGGCACACTGCAGGCTCCCCCCTGCGGCGAAGCCCTCAGGAGCTGGTGCCCGGGGGCATGATCCCCGGGGCTGGGGCAGGCCCGGAGGCCGACGGCTGCTGTTGCCTCTGCAGGCGCTCCTGCTGGAGCGGGGCTCTCTTGGCCCTGGAAGAGAGCGTTGGGGAGGTCAGGACCGGGTTGGAGGAGGAGGTCGGGCCTGGGCAGGGAGCAAGGGCAGCGCACAGGAGACAGACCTGGCCCTGGCTCGGGTGTCATTGTAGATGGCTGTGATGATCCGATCCTTTTCATCCATGAAATTCCGGTGTACCTGCTCCAACTTCCTGCAAAGCGGGTGCTGCTAACCCCAGTGACTCCAGGATCTGGAGTCTCACAACTTCACATCTGTGGGGACCTTGGCCTACCAGCGGCTGTGATAGGTGGGGAGAGGGCCCCAAAGCCTCAGCTGGCCTGCTCAAGCTTGGTGAGCTGTTCTGAACAGGGGATGCCCAATCAGGAGACGAGGAAGGGCTGTGCAGCTAACATTGTTACTGAACTAGGAAGTTGCTGGCAGTGGGCACAGGCCTCAAGTAGAAAATTTTATGCACAGGTAAGAGAATCAGGTGACACCAACTACCAACTGAGGACTATGGCTTGATGGAGAGGCTCTATTCCAATGTATTTGTTTCTTGTGCAACATTGTGTGTCTCTGTAGTGAGGCCTCTTGTTCTCCCCTGGCTTTTTTGCTTAAGGCTACACTTGAGCCACATCTTCACTTCTTGCTTTTTGCAAGAAGAGTCTCAGAATTGGCTTTGAACCAGGACCCTCAGATCTCCACCTCCTAAGTAGCTAGAATTACAGATGTGAGCTACTGGCACCTGGCTTCTTGTGCATCATTCAGATTGGCTCCAGCTCTTTGGCAGCCAGCACCGAAGACTTATATTCAAATTATGAAGAACAGGAAATTATCTATCTGGGTGTTTTTTGCTTCTTGTTTTTGTGTTTGTTTGTTGTTTTTTACCAGTCCTGGGGCTTGACCTCAAGGCTTGGGCACTGTTCTTTTGCTCAAGGCTATCATTCTACCACATCAGCCAAAGTGCCATTTCTGGCTTTTTCTGTTTAAGTAGTACTAAGGAATTGAACCTAGGCTTCATGCATGCTAGGCAAGTACTTTACCACTTTTTTTTGTTTTTTTGTTTTTCTCGATCATGGGTCTTGAATCCAGGGCCTGGGTGCTGTCTCTGAGCTTTTCTGCTCAAGGCTAGTACTTGGGTGTTCTAGTGGTTAACTGGAGAAAATAAGAGTCTCTTGGACTTTCATGCCTGGTCTGACTTTGAACAGCGATCCTCAGATCTCAGCCTTCTAAGTAACTAGGATTATAGGCCTGAGCCACCAGCGGCTGGCTTTTTGTTTTGTTTTTGAGGGCAGCACATCTTGTCTAGCTCTTTCCAAAACGCTGCCTTACTCAATAAAGAAAAGGCTCTAGAGATCAATTTCACATCATTCTTAGCTTGGGAGACATAAGCATGCAGGCTATGGAGTGTCATGGCTGGCTGACCTTTCTAGGTGTCACCCACCCTCCTACCCTGTCTGCCCACCCCCTCAGGGAGGACAGTACTCACTTGAAGGCAATATAGTGCAGGCCCATGCCTGCCAGCATGAACAGGAGGCAGTACCCCAGCACCTGCTGGTTGTTTTTCTGTTGTTGCTGCCTTGACTCAGGCCCCTGTGGCCTCACATGGTGAAACTGGTTCCAGTATTGTGCATTGGGGGGTTCCCAGGAGCTACTGGAAAACAAAAGGGACAACACGGACATGAGGCTCTCAGAGCCTCCCAGAGCCTGGGGGGTAGGTGCCAGCAGGGTGTTGGGACAGGACCACTGTACCTGTGTGTGTATTGGGAAGATCTGGAATGGGCTGTGGTTCCTGGAGATGTGCAAGAGCTGGCAGAGCGAAGCTGTTGATCGTAGCTACGACGGCTCTCCTCCCGGCTGAGCACATGGTATGCCTCATTTAGTTCCACAAAACGGCTATGCAAGGTGGGGTTCCCTGGATCTCGGTCTGGGTGTAACTGAGGTAGGACAGGGGTCCTCTTATCTCCCTTTCTATGTCTTTCTAGAACCCATCTTGATGATGTCTACCCACAAGAGTTCACAGTATCCCCAAAGTCCTACCTGGGCAGTGACCCTCACACTCAGGCCTGCTTATGCCCCTCCAGGAGGCCAGAAATACAGATATCTGCCCACTCCCCTTCAAGCCCCACCCACCACCAGCCTCCTGTTCTCTCTCTCCATATGCCCTGGTCCATGTTTCTCAAGAGCAGACAGACAGGTCAAGAAAACCAAGCCTAAAGGTGAACACTAGTGGCTCTCGCCTGTAATCCTGTTTATACAGGAGTCTGAGAGTTGAGTTTCACAGTCAAAGCCAACAGGGCAGGAAAGTCTGTGACTTCCATCTCCAGTTAACCACCAGAAAACCAGAAGTGGTGCTATGGCTCAAAGTGGTAGAGCACTAGCCTTGAGCAAAAGAGCTTCAGAACAGTGCCCAGGCCGAGTTCAACATACAACACACAAAAAGAAAACAAAGCCAAACCAGAACACAGTGGGTTCCACCTGTAATCCTAGCTACTCAGGAGGCTGACTGAGATCTGAAGACTGAGGTTCAAAGTCAGTCCAGGCAGGAAAATCCACACACAAAAAAAGGTGGAGTAGAGGTGTGATTTAAGTGGTGTAGTGCCAGCCTTGAGCAAAAAAGGCTAAAAGATAATACCCAGGCCCTGAGTTCAAGCCTCAGAACTGGCACAAAAAAAAAAGAAAAGAAAAGAAGAAGAGAGTAAGAAAGACAGAGACAGACAGAGAGAGAGGAAAGCCTAGCACATCCAGCAGGATCTCTGGTCTGTTCCCCAAGCCTTCCCTCATTTCTCATCCCCGTGCAGGCTGAAGGAAGGGATATGACAGAGACACATGTCAGCTTCTGTGGACTTGGGCTGCTCCCTACCCATCTGGCTCAGGTTTCTGCTTCCTTCCTCCCCACCTTGGCAGCACTGTACCTCCTTGGACTTGATGAAGAAAGCTCTTTTAACTTCTTCAGCACTGGCACCAGGATCCACACCCAACAATTCATAATAATTACTGGGCCCAGACCTATGGAGAGAGGCCCAAACCAGCAGAGGCTGAGGGAACCCATAAAGAACCCCTGCTATCCTCTTCCAACCTCCCTGGACCTCACCCTCCATTTCTACCACCAGCTCAGGAGAGGCTGTTAGTCCCAAGGCAGACCTGGCCCCAAATCATCTGTCCCTTTGGGGGTTATCTCAGGACTGATTCAGATCAGAACTCAAAGTGTCATCCTCAGACCCTTGTACTACCACCAGAAAAGCTTGTTTAAAACAGCAGATTGAGCTGGGAATGTGGCTTAGTAGTAGAATGCTTGCCTAGCATGCATGAAGCCCTGGGTTCAATTCTTCAGGGATTTCAGGGACCAGAGCTCAAGCCTCATGACCACAAAAACAAAACCCCCAGCAGATCTCCTGAACTAGGGATGTAGTGGAGTGATACAACTCCTGCTGGGCATTAGTGAATCCCCAAGTACAACCCAAACACTGCAAAAGAACAAAAAGTAAAAGCAACAGATTCCCAGGTGGCTGGTGCCTTTAGTTCCAGTTAGTTGGAAACTGAGACAGGAAAATCTCATGAGCCTGGAGGCCAATCTGGGCCTCCAGAAAGCCAATTACTTCCTGGGATCTCATTTCTCCAGATCTGACTCTCCACGAAAGGCCTAGGGATCTGCATCTTTTTCTTTCTTTTCTCTTTTCTTTTCTTGTCCTGGGGCTTGAACTCAGGGCCGGGGCACCATCCCTGAGCTTCTTTTGCTCAAGGCTACCACTCTATCACTTGAGCCACATAGCCACTTCCGGATTTTTCTGGTTAGTGGTGAGGAATTGAACTCAGAGCTTCGTGCATGCTAGACAAGCACTCTACCACTAAGCCACATTCCCAGTCTGAATCTGCATCTCTGTACCCAACGTCCCCTAGGGAGTTATGCGGAGATGCTTGACGGACCCTAGTTCATGAAATTTCTGACCTGCCACTTAACCTACTGTCTGTCCTTGGGGTCATCTCTCAAAGCTCCAGTGTCCTCGGCTGTGCCGGGGAGTGTTACCTGAGACAAGCCTACAAAGCAGCTGACGCTGAGTGCCGAGCCCACGGCTCCCTCGGCACGCAGAGCCGAGCCTGGGCTGGGCTGGGCAGGGCTAAGCCTGGATGGCCTCACAGAACCCCCCTGACCCTCGGGCCCGGCCCTGCACTCACCGCTGCCCGGCGGCCGCTGCGAGGGCCCGGGTGGGAGGGTGGCAGGGCCACGGCCGGCACAGGCGCAGGGGCAGCAGGGGCCACAGGGGCGGCATGGCGGCGGGCGCGCAGCTGGGGAGAGGAGGCCGCTAAGAGGGGCGCCTGAGACCAGGTTGGGCCAGGCCTGATGCGCTCCGGGGCCCGGGACAGAGGACAGCAGTGTGGCCCAGGGACGGCTGCTTTTCTCAGGTTCATACTGGCTAATCAGACCCAGCCGACCCCCTCCCTCGCACTGACCAGGACTCGAGACGCCCCTCCTCACCCCCCGGCTTTTAGGGGTGGTGGGCGAAGGAGGAGCCAGAACCAAGCCCCGCCCCTCCCCTCACTCACAGACTCCGAGGTCGCCGCCATTTCCCGGGGCAACATAGGCCCCGCCCTCCCGTTTTCATTGGCTTAGATATCAGTTCAGACCACGCCCGTGGGGCGGGACGATGCGGACGGGCGACAAAGAGCCTGCCCCCGGCATTCCCATTGGCCTTAGACGTCGGGCCCGAGGTCCAACCAGAGACACCGGCGGGAGGGCCGGCGGGCGAGCTGCGGGCGGGAATGAGCGTGATTCTCAGCCGAAGCTTCGGCCGCGCTGCCTCCCGGAGTCGTGCTCCCGGGATTGTTGCTCTGCTCAGCGGCAAGGCACGTTTCCCAGAGCTTTCTGGAATCTCATTAGAGTTTGGCATAGGAGGCGGGGCTCCAGCTCTAGCTTGCAGAGGGGAAATCCGAGCCTGGGCTGGTTCTGATCTCCCCCCCCACACACACACCACTTTCCCTCTTGTCTCCACCCAGAGCCCGCCTCTCACAGAAACAGCAGATACCAACGGGATTCAAGAATAAAGTGCTTTATTGTCCTCAGACTTTTGGTGACAGGCCTAGGGTCCTTGGGCGAGTCAGGAAGGACTTCCTCGGACCTGGTTGTAGAGGAGGATGGCGCCTTTGGCTGAGGGGCAGAGCTCAGTCCACAGCTCTGTCTCCTGCAATCGCTGCATCCTCTGCAGGAAGACAGTGAGACCCACACCTCCATCCCTGACACCTACTAGGGCTGTGCCCAGAATTTCTCTGTACCGGTCTATCCCTATTTCTGCACCGGAGTCTGTTAAGGGGACTGAACTAAGCACAGCGCCTGTGGCTCCTGACTGTAATCCTAGCTATTCAGGAGGCAATCGGAGGATCGAGGTTCAAAGCCAGCCAGGGCAGACAAATCCTAGACAATCTTTTTTTTTTTTTTGCCGGTCATGGTGCCTGAACTCTGGACTGGGCGTTGTCCCTCAGCTTTTCAGCTCAAGGCTAGCGCTCTACCACTCGAGCCACAGCGCCACTTCTGGCTTTTTCTGCTTATGTGGTGCTGAGGAATTGAACCCAGGGCTTCATGCATGCAAAAGCAAGCACTCTACCACTGAGCCACCTTCCCAACCCCTCCTAGAGAATCTTATCTCCAATTAGCCACTTAAAAGCCAGAAGTGGAAGTGTGACTCAAATGGTAGAGCACTAGAACTAGCTTTGAGAGACAACGCTAACGGACAGCGTCCAGGCTGAGTTCGAGCCCCAGCTTGAGCCTATGTCTATGACTCTGGAGGAGACCCGGGCCTGGAAGTCCTGTCTCCTCTAGCTGTTCCCTCCTCACCACGTCTCACCAGACTTCCTTGAAGACCTCAGCCTTGGCGTCCCAGTTTGCTCCCCAGTACCTGCATCTCCACAAAGATGATTCCTGCAGACTCATGCGCCTCAGGCCCTCCGCTCAGGTAGTAGCTCCTCACCTCTTCAGAAGTGAGGCTGCACCTGAACAAGAATATGAGGGTGGCCAGGGAAGTGTTCAACCCTGCAAAATCCTTATGGAATCCCAGCTGCCTCAGCCCTGTCTCTCATCACCCCCCCCCTCCTAAGCTCTCCAGGATCCTGTGCACCCCAGAGCCTACTCACTGCACATAGAATTCAGCACTGGCCCGGCCGGCGCTGGTCTCATTTCTGGCGATGCCCAAGAGGAGTGGCTGGCTCAGGGTGAGCAGTGGCAGGTTCACCTGGGGCAAGGGGGATTCCACCTGTCAGTGTCCACTGACCACACAATTGCCCTCCTCAGTGGAGAACAACCTGTTACACTTTGTAGCATTGCGACATTTTTCAGTTTAAGTACCAGTATCACAGAATGTCATATCTTAGGAATGTCCATTTTACAGGTGGGAAACCAGAACAAAGAGACTAACTTGTCCAGGGAAATCTCTTCACCCAAGGGAAGTTGATTTAGTAACTAAGTCCCTTATTTATTCTTCCTTCAACAATCTTAGGAAAGGGAATATATTTATCTTCATTTCCACTATTGAGAGGAGAACCCAAAACTAGTCACTGGTGACTCATACCTATAATCCTAGCTACTCAGGAGGTTGCGATCTGAGGATTCAGGTTTGAATCAGGCCAGGGAGGAACGTCTAAGAAACTTTTTTTTTTTCTTTGTCAATCACGAGGCTTGAACTGAGGGCCTGGGTACTGCCCTGAGCTCCTTTGCTCAAAACTAGTGCTCGCCACTTTGAGCCAAGTGCCACTTCCAGTTTTCTGGTGATTAACTGGAGAAAAGTCTCATGGACTTTCCTGCCCAGGCTGGCTTTGAACCGCAATTCTCAGACCTCAACCTCCTGAGTAGCTAGGATTACAGGCTTGAGCCTGGCTATGTGAGACTCATCTCCAATTAACCACCAAAAAACCGAAGTGGAGGTATGGCTTAAGTGGTAATTGGCCTTGAGTGAAAAATGGTAAGGGATAGCAACCAGGCCTTGAGTTCAAGCCATATTACTGGCACATGTACACACACACACACACACACACACACACACACCACGAACCAGAGGTCCAGGGAGGTAAGTGTTAGAATTCCACTTTGAGTATGCCCAGCTCCAAAACCAAGTTCTTTCCTTGGTGCCACCCAGACTCTGCAGACCCTCTCACTAGTTTAAGGCCTGTAGAATTCTTTTTTTTTTTAACTGTTCTTTTTATTTGTTTTGGTCTTTTCTTTTTTGGTACTGAGGATCAAACCCAGGACGTAGAACTTGCTAAGCAAGTGCTTTGCCACTGAGCTACATCCCAGCCCAAGGCCTGTGGAATTCTAGCAAGTTCTACCCTCTCCTTTCATGCCTACCATGCTATACCAGCCTCCCCTCAACTCACCTCATCACAGATCTCCTGCAGCACACTGGAGAAGAGCTCACGTACCACCAGCTCCCCAGGAAGGGTCTTGTGCTGGGGGACATCACCAGGGCACAGGACCTGGGAGAAGTCAGGCTCAACCTCTGCCTTCTGCCTCTTCTCACCCTGTCTTCTTTCCTTTTGCTGGCCCTGAAGGGCCTGAGGTAAGGGTCTTATGACCCTTTAGCCCAGACCATTCTTTATAAGGTGGCAAACAGTAGTTTGGCAGGATAAAGCATTGACTTCCTGTCCTCTCCCATCCCCACTGTTTCCCAGCTTCCCATAGGTCTGTTGTAGGTTGGGCGTGTAGCTAGGTCTACCAGATGGCATTGAGGGCCCTGTCACGGCCTGGCAGTGGTGACAGTCCTGGGCCACTCTCAGCTCGGCTTGTACCTGCTCCTGGGACAGCTCTTCAGAAGGGCACTGCGGCAGGGGACACTGCAGAGCTGTCCTGGACAGACTTTACAGAGAAGAACTAGGCTTATTTTCCTTTCAGGGTTGTGCCCTCCAGAGCTGGGCGGGCTTAGAGGCCCAGTTCCTCACAGGTGTGTAGGACTTTGTGCTTTTGTACCTATCCTGGCATCTCACCTGAGGCTCAGGATGCCCACCAGGCACATCCACCAGCCCTGGAGCTTCGGCCACCTGCCCAGAGCGGCGCAGGAAGACCAAAAAGTCATCAGTAGTGGCCAGAGCAGCACCCACCCCCAGTGGGTCTGCCAGATAGGCTTGCTTGTCACCCCAATCAGCAGCTCCCTGCTGTCGCAGCCAGGAGGCTGAACTGGCCCAATTGGTGCCCAGGAAGTCTCGGTAGGAAGTAAGACCCAGGCGCAGGAGTAGCTGTGGTCCTGGTGAGTCAGTGGGTGCCAGCGTGGCGGAGTGAAGACGGAACTTGGGGGCATCGAAGAGCCAGGGTTGGGACTGTAGCCGGGTTTCCCAGATGGCAGTGATGGTCTTGTCATCTCCTGGCAGGAAGCGACGGTCATAGGCTGGGCTCAGCTCCACCTCTACTTGCTCCTGGGGCAGCCCCCCAGGAGGGCAAAGCAGCATCAGGGATACCTCAGGGTCCATGATGTAGTCGGAGCAGATCTAGGAAGGACACAGACGGACTGTCACCCCAGGAAACGCATCGCTACCCCCCTGGATCCCGCAGCTGGTCCCTTCAGCCGCAGACCTGAGGGGACTGAAATCCCAGCCCTTCGGAACCTCCAGGACCACCCTTTGGGCAGTTAGTGTCCTATCATTCCCCAGAGCCCCGAGCCCGGCTGAGGTGCACGGGACTCGGGGACCTCCCTACCACACAGGGGCCCTGGGACCCCCAAAGGCTGTGCGCCCCTGGCCCAGGAATCCTGCCTTCAGCCCGGAACGTGCAAGGTCCCCGGAAGCTGCAGCCTCACCCGCCCTCTGCGCCCTTAGGCTCCGCCCCTTCCCCCAAACGGAAGTGCACGCCCCTTTCTCCCGCGGCTTCTCATTGGCTGGTGGAGGCGAGTCGCTCAGGTTCCGGCACGAGTCCCCGCCCACCGCGGCGGCTGGTCTGAGTTCCTGCCCCGCCGGTCCTGTCCCGGGGTGCCCGCGTGCACGCCGGCCGCGCCTCCCCGGGCCGGCTCCCCAGCACCGCCGCGGCCCGGAGCGCGGGGCCAGGCTCCCAGGGCCTCGTGATCTCCAGGGTGACGGTGACCTTGGGCAAGTGACGCCAGCTGGGCTTTAGTTTCTTCTCTGCACCGGGGGTTGGAGGGTAGGAAGCAGATTAAATAAACCGCACTTGGCTTATCCTCAGCTTTGTGACTTTCTGGGGCCATGGGAGGAGCCTTTAAAGCAGTCTCCCCACCAGTCACTGCTCCCCACAGGTCTTGCTATGATGAGCGCCTCTGGAGGAAAGAGACAGGAAGCTGCAGGGCCCAGGGGTAGACGGGCTTCCAGACCCAGCGAACAGGTGCGCCTCCCTCCACTCTCAGCCCAGTGTGGGGAGGACAAGGGAAGGGACCCTGAGCTCTGGCTTCCTGGTGGCTGAGGGAGACCAGTGGGTCATACTGGTCCTGGAGACCACAGGGTAGGTAGCAGGGTAGGGTCCCTATGGAAACCCTAGTTATCTGCTGGGCTCTTTCAGAACCGAGATGTGCAACTGTCCAAGGCTCTGTCCTACGTCCTGCGCCATGGAGCCTTGAAGCTGGGGCTTCCCATGGGGGCTGGTAAGTCGTCTGTGTCCCTTCCACCATGGCTCCCTACACTGTCTAGGAGGAAGGCCCCAAGGGTACAGCAGGGATAGGCCTCATATCATGTCCACTGGGATAGGAACTCCTATTTGGCCCAGGCCTAGTGATATCCCTTCCAGCTGGGGAGAAGGGTGTGGAAAGCAACTGGTATTTACTTGAGTGTTCACTCTAGGCCAGGTACTAAGTCCTTTATCTGTGGGTTTTTTGTTTTTGGGGTGTGTGTGTGTGTGTGTGCATAGTGGGACTTGAACTTAGGACCTTCTGTTTTTCCTTAGCATTTTTGCTCAAGGCTGATGTTCTACCACCTGAGCTATATCCCCACTTCTTGCTTTTTGGCAGTGAAATGGAGATAAGAAACTCTTTTTTTTGGGGGGGGTCCAGTTGTGGGGGCCTGAACTCTGGGCCTGGGCGCTGTCCCTCAGCTCTTCAGCTCAAGGCTAGCGCTCTACCACTTGAGCACAGCACCACTTCCAGCTTTTTTCTTTCTGCTTATGTGGTGCTGAGGAATCGAACCCAGGGCCTCTGGCATGCAAGGCAAGCGCTCTACCACTGAGCCACCTTCCCAGCCCCGCGATAAAAAAAACTCTTTAAGATTTGTCTGCCCAGGCTGGTTTCAAATCAGGATCCTCAGATCTCAGCCTCCTGCATAGCTAGGATTATAGGCATGGGCCGTCAGTACCTGGCTAAGTCTTTTGTCTGTGTGACTCTTTACATTCAATTCCTCTTTTTATGTTCATTAAAGAAACAGAGACCCAGAAAGGGTCTAAAGGCCCTTGGGATTTCTGGGCCCAACCTTGGTTTGAGCCAAGGCTCAAGTAAGGCTGAAGCAAGGCTGCTCCTGAGCACCCTGTGCCCACAGATGGCTTTGTGCCCCTGGACCACCTCCTGCAGCTACCTCAGTTCCATAGCTTCTCAGCTGAGGACATAAAGCGTGTGGTGGAGACCAATGGGAAGCAGCGATTTGCCTTGCAGCAGGGAGATCCCAGCCTTGGCCTCCTCATCCGGGCCAATCAGGGTCACTCTCTGCAGGTGGGTGCCAAGAGAACAGATGGAGAGCCAGGTGGGACCCAGTCTGCCATGGGGTTCTCACGGCTGCTCATACAACCATCGGTTACAGGTACCTGAGTTGGAGCTGATGCCCCTGGAAACACCTCAGGCACTGCCCCTGATGCTAGTCCATGGTACATTCTGGAAGCACTGGCCATCTATCTTGCTCAAGGGCTTGTCATGTCAAGGAAGGACACACATCCACTTGGCCTCAGGACTGCCTGGTGATCCTGGTGTCATCAGTGGTCAGTATCCTCTTCATCCACCTAGTCTCACCCCTCCTCCCTCTCAGCCGCCCTCCAAGTGTCGCAGCATCACTTGTGCAAGGCCACCTCTGCTTTGCAGGGGCATCATCCCCTTCATCCCAGGGCCCCATTCTGTCCAGGTGTGCTGACTGTGGTCTCTAGGCCTTAGCTCCAGTTGTCCCTGCCTGCAGGCTTGCGCCCCAACTGTGAAGTGGCTGTGTTCATCAATGGACCTCTGGCCCTGGCAGGTGAGTGTGGACACAGCAGGGACCAACCTACATCTTTTTTCAGTTTGGGGGTGGTGGGGGAGATGGGACCTGAGTCACATCTCTAGCTCTGTCTGCAGATGGAATCCCCTTCTTCCGCTCTGCCAATGGAGTGATCCTGACCCCAGGGAATGCTGATGGCTTCCTGCTCCCCAAGTACTTCAAGGAGGCCCTGCAGCTGCGCCCCACCCGTGAGAACTGCCCCTGCCCTACTCCCCTCCCCCCACGTGCCCGAAGCCCGTGCCCTTCTGCTCTCAGCCTTTCCTCCAGCCCCCAGCTCTACTCATCTCCATTCTCTTATCTCTATCCCAGGAAAGCGTCTCTCCTTGGTCAATGATAAGGAGACAGAATACCAGAGTGGCCCTAGCACAGCCCCTGAGGAAGAAAGATGATCCAACAATAAAATATTTATTATTAAAAAAAAAAAAAGAAATCTAGGACTGGGGCATGGCTCAAGTGGTAGAGAACTTGCCTAGCAAGCACAAGACCCTGGGTTCTATCCAAGTACTATCAAATCAACCAATCTAAAAAAAGTCACAAGAGAAAAAAATGAGTTTGAAACTGAGACTCCTCATCCTGTAGCTACTCCTGTGCTCAGGGGTACAGAGAGATGGTGGGTACAGGCCTTGGCCTCTAGAGAGGGAAGACAAGGGAAGAAGGGCTCTGTATCCTTCCTAGCTAGGAGGTTGCAGCAGAGTGAGGCCTGGCCAGGGCTCTGGTCTGCCAGTGACCGCAGCGGAAGGTGCCCAGCTTGGCACATGCCTGGGGGGGGGGTCAGTGCAGCCCACTAGGTGTGGGCTCTGGAATGGCCACGAAAGGTTGTGAGCACATCAGGGGCAACCTGGCTGTCCTTATAAGGCCTCATGGCCCCCAGTGAGCTGTAGGAAGAGATCCTCGTCCAGCTCCTCCCCACGGGCTCGCTCCCGGGTGGACAGGAAAATGTAGCCCCCGATGTATTCATGCACAATGCGGCAGCTGGCAGACACGCAGCTGAAGGCCACGTTGATGTGCTCGTCAAACTCGATGGCCACCTGCAGGTAGACGGTCAGAGGGCCGGTGGGCAGGTGAGATTAGGGAGCAGCCCTGCCCTGCCCTGGTAGAGCCTGGCTGGCCAGCTGTCCTGTCTGTCCCGTCGATCCCCTCCCCCAGGGCCCACCTGCCGGATGTCCCAGTTGACATTCCACTGGCGCATGTTACTGAAGCGCCAGGTCTTCACCACGTCGCCCATGGCCAAGTCGATTCGGATCAGTCGGTTGTTAGCAATGCCAAGGATCTCGTCTTTCCTGCTGCCCTTGAACCTGATCCCAGGAGGGATAGTGTGAGTGAGGCCGCCAAGCTGTGTGGCCCCCAGGAAGCACCCAGACAGCACACACAGCACAGGAAGCACCCAGACAATATGCACAGCACTCCAGAACCAACTATGGCGAGGGAGAGAGATCCTGTGCCTGCCCCAGCTCTGCCACACTCCCCAGCTGAGCCACCCTAAGCAGGTCATTTCCCTCATCTAGAAAGAATCATGGGTAGGGTGGTACATGCCTGTAATTCCAGTTACTTAGGAGTTTTTCGCAGGGAGCCCAGGCAGAAAGGAAGAGCAACCCTGACTCAGAGGCAAAATACTGCCCAGTGCTCCGCCTGTCATCCTAGCTACACAGGAGACTGAGATTTGAGGGCTGAGGTTCAAAACCAGTCTGCGCAGGAAATGAGACTTTTTTTTTTTTTTTTGTCTGGTCGTGGGGCCTGGGCGCTGTCCCTCAGCTCTTCAGCTCAAGGCTAGCGCTCTACCACTTGAGCCACAACGCCACTTCCGGCTTTTTTCTTTTTGTTTATGTGGTGCTGAGGAATCAAACCCAGGGCCTCAGGCATACAAGGCGAGCGCTCTACCACTGAGCCACCTTCCCAGCCCTGGGAAATGAGACTCATCACTAATTTACCACCAGAAAACCAGAAGTGGCGCTGTGGCTCAAATGGTGAGTGCTAACCTTGAGTTCAAGTCCCATGATCAAAAACAACCACAAAAAAAAAAAAAAATTAGCTGGGCACTGGTGTCTCATACCTATAATCCTAGCCATAGGTTGAGACCTGGAGGATCACAGTTTGAAGTCTGATTCAAGCCAGCAAAAAGCTTGATTTGAGGCATGGCTCAAGTGGTACAGTACCGGCTGAGAAAGAACACAAGGCTATGAGTTCAAGCTCTGGTACAAGAAAAAAAGGAGGGGGAAGGATAGAGGCATGACACATGGTGAAATGTTTGCCTATCTAGAGGCCTGTGTGTGTGTGTGTGTTTATAGTTTTGCCAGTTCTAGGGCTTGAACTCAGGGCTTGGGTGCTGTTTCTGAGCTTTTGTGCCCAAAGCTAGTGCTTTGTCACTTTGTGCCTTAATTCCATTTCTAGTTTGTTTTTTTTTTTGTCGGTCGTGGGGCTTGAACTCTGGGCCTGGGCACTGTCCCTCAGCTCTTCAGCTCTAGGCGAGCACTCTACCACTTGAGCTACAGCGCCACTTCCGGTTTTCTGGTGGTTTATTGGAGATAGGAGTCTCACGGTCTTTGCTGCCCGGGCTGGCTTTGAACCGCGATCCTCAGATCTCAGCCTCCTGAGTAGCTAGGATTACAGGCGTGAGCCACCAGCGCCCGGCCCATTTCTAGTTTTTTGGTGGCTAATTGGAGATAAGAGTCTCACAGACTTTCTTTCCCAGGCTGGCCTTACACTGTAATCCCTAAATCTCAGCCTCCTGAGTGTCTAGCATTACAGGTGTGTGCCCAGCTGAAGCCTCTGTTCCAACACCAGTACTGCCAAAACCCACACAAAGCATTATATGGGTATTTCGGTGTCTCACAAGTCATCCATGTCTTTAGTAATTGTGTTTGTGTGGTTTTTGGCATCGTCATCTTTGCCTCTCTCCTGTCGTGGGGATGAATAATGACGTGGCCTCCTTACGCCAGCTCCATACCACAGGGCAGCTGACTGAGGCCCAGACAAGGAAGGCAGATTGGGACAGCACTGGCTTTCCTGCTTTGTCTCTTATATTAGTTATTGGGTGCAGAATTGGGAGGGGGGTTGTGTGCCTCAGTGTTCCCACTAACAGGGAAGTGGAAAGGATGAGGATCCTGTCTAGGACCCACTGTTAGGAAGCAAGCGTAAAGCAGCAGGCAGACAGACCCGTGGCAAGGCAGGGCTGGGCTGCCCTCATACCTGACCATGACGTAGGAGATGCCGAAGTCGGGCAGCGACTGCCAGGCCTGGATGAAACGCAGCTGGGCCTCGCTCAGTGACAGCTGGGCCACATTCTGGTGGGCTTCCAGGATCCGTGGAGTCAGCTGCAGGGCCATATTGGTGAGGGGCTGGTGGTGGCTCTCCAACCCCATCCTCAGAAAGTCAGGGCACTGAGCCCCAGGAAGGGCAGTGCCCGCCGTCCTCCCGGGGAGGTTTCAGGGGCACAGTAGAAGGGAAAAGAGAGCATGTGCTTTCCTAAGGAAGGCTCTGTGGAGATCTGGGGTCAAAGCTGTGGTTACTCCCACCCACATCCCCTCTGGCACCTGCTTGGCCTTGAACTTGCGCTGGAATCGGGGGGCAACGAGACCATGAGGGTTGAGGCTCTCAGCGGAGGCATCGGAGCCCTGGGGTTGGCTGCCGGATCCCCCGCCGCCGCCGGCCCGCTGCAGGTTGAGGAAGGCCAGAATGGCCTGCACCTCGCTGGCGTAGCTGCTGTCTGCCATGGTGCGGCCCTTGGCAGCCAGGCGGCAGCCAGCCATCCAGTGGGCATACTGCTGCTCCTGTAGCGGGAGACAGGAGTGAGGCTTGGAACCAGCCCTGGGGCCAGGCGCAGGCCCCGCCCCTTGGCCCCGCCCTCCCCAGCCTCACATCCTGGCACCGCAGGTAGATCTCGCTCATGCCCTCCGGTGAGGGCACCAGGAGTTTGATGCAGAACTTCTGGCCAGAGACGTTGACCTCGGGGACCACCTCACAGCCTGCAGGGAGAAGGGGGCGGTGGTCTACACAAGACAGGGAGGGCTGGCCCCACCAGATGTCCTTTGTCCCCAGGCTGTCCAGGCCTCTCACCCTTGAGGTTGAGCTGCTGAATGGGGTCCCCGGGAGCCTCTTCCTGACTCTTGTAGTACGAAAGCGTGGTCTCCTTGAACACCACCCAGTGCTGCCGGTAGCCCTTTAGAGTCAACTTCCGGGGCCTGATGGGGGAGGGGTGGGGAGTAGGAGGTTTGAGGACTGTCTTTGTCCCTCCCTCCCCCACCATCCACACGGGGCCCCAAACCTACCGGAAGATTCGGAGATAGTCTTTGAGTTCTGGGATGGTGGTGAGGCTGTCCTAGGGGGAGGAGTGGAATCAAAGAGTGCCCCGTGTTGAGCCCCACGCTGAACCTCAGACAGGAGTGTCTCCTCACCAGCACGTCTGTGGGGGCCGAGCCCTCCAGCTTCACCTCCAGGTTGCTCAGGGCTGCATCCAGGTCATCCAAGCCCTGGTCAGGGCTGGCCGGCTCCCCCATGGCCCCGCTCTGGGACAGCTTGTTGATGTGGTACTGGGGGGCGCATGGTCAGGAGAGGCTGAGTACACCCATCCAGCCCCTAATGGTGCCCCAGCCTGGGCTTTGCCTCCCCCCACCCAGGGCTCTTTCTGTCAGAGTCCCGCTGTCCTGGGATGCCAGGGCACCTGCAAGGCTGCAAACACCATCATCTCCTCCTCCGTGCAGTCGATCTCCTCCAGCAGCAGGTCCCAGCGAGCTTGCTCGTACAGCTGCGTCAGCCGCACCGGGTCTGTCTGTAATAACCAGGGGGTAGCGGGGGCCAGGCTGGTCAGATCATCTGGTCTGGACACCCAGGCTGTGGCCCCACCCCACCCAGCTACCAATCCTCTGGTACCCAAGCAGGCACCAGTGTTTTCTCCTCTGTTGTGCATTGCTCACTATCCATGCTACAGCTCAGCAGGAAATGGCTTCCCCGGGGCAGCTGACCAGCCCTCATCCAAGGGATTATAAGCTACAAGAAGGATGCAATCAGGAAAGGCTTCTCTGAGGAGGGAGCTTGTTAAGCAGCACCCTAGGGGGGATAAGGTGCCACTAGAGGGAAGGAAGATAGAAGAGGAATCTAGGGAGAAGGAACAGAGAAGGTAAAGGCAAAAAGGGGTCCCAGTTACCCAGAGAAGTATGTCCTATGTCTCACCCAAAATAAAGACACTTAAAAAAAAGAAAAGGATGGGGGGGGGGACGGTTACAGGGGGAACTGGGAATGTAGTTTAGTAGTAGAGTGCTTGCCTAGCATGCATGAAGCCCTGGGTTTGATTCATTCCTCAGTACTACATAAACAGAAAAAGCCAGAAGTGGTGCTGTGGCTCAAATGGTACAGCACTAGCCTCAAGCAGAAGCTCAAAGGACAGGGCCCAGGCCCTGAGTTCAAGCCCCAGGACTGGCAAAAA